TTGGAAATGCCTAGAGTTACAGCCATCTTTTTACATAAGCCTAGTGAAGCTTTTTATGTGGTGGGTGTTGGAGTTAACTATACCACCAGCAGAATAGTAGAAGTACCATCTATCTGTATGTATCTATTCTTTTTTTTCTGGTTAATTCTTTGGAATTTCTGTTTCTTGTATAAGAATGAATATTGGCATTCATTTTTCTTAAAGTCTTTTTATTTTATTTTGTTTTCCTAAAGCCAGCTGCTCTATAACACCGTGCTGCTTTGCCTTTAAGTCTAATTAAAACTGCTTAGAATTAAAACTGCTTTGCCTCTCAGTATCATATTTGGTAATAAAAGGAGTTACGAAAACTTTTATAAATGCATGAGTCTGAAAGTCTTGGAGAATAAAGATGTACTTATTATAATTTGTCAAATAGTTTTCTCTGTACAGATGAAGTGTAAAGTTTTGAACTGATGGACTTTATGTAGGTATGCAGTTGAAAGTATATTAGTGAATGAGTGGGACTGAAATAATAGATTTACAAATTAAATAAGTTGATTGTAAAATCCAGGTTCTGGAGTGTTTATAATGATTAGGTAAAGATAAGAAGGCCCTGGGGCCAAAACAGCTTGGAAAACTAACAATTTTGAGGAATGAATGAGTAGGCAGAAAGTTCAAAGCAGTTTTCAAATGTGTCAGGGGAAGTAAGAAAAGTAGAAGTAGAAATTGTTAGAAGTGCTATGAGAACAGAGAAATTCAGTAAGGAAGAGAGGGTTCACATTTCCTTGGTCATTGATGGATGTGGTGATTTTTAAAATTACCCATGATCTTGGTAAGACCCATTTATTTGAAAATTGCAAGTAAAAGCTGGTGGAGAACAAAGATCAGTCAGGAGGAGAAAAGTGATGGACTGCTCAGAGGTGAAGATGATTGACTTTAAAATTGATATAGAAATCCAATTTTGAATTTGGAAGGAAGTGTTTAAGTAGAAACAGTTTTAAAATTTTGTTTTTAATTTATGAGTAGCTGAACATCCTCCTTAAGCAAAAGGCTTTTCTGAATAAGGTATAGAAAATGATATGTACTTAAAGATTTCTACCTTTAGTACATGCCTTGTTAATTGAACATAAAGTCCTAAAATTATTTGAATTATTACTAGTTTTACGTACCCAAACAAAAGTTTCTGGGTTTATTGGGGGAATGGAAGGAAAGGATCATGGGAAGAAATTCATATTATTCTGTTGTCTTCTACCCTAATAGACCCAATTCTACTTACTTCTCTGATAGGGTGATAAACGAATGGCCTACATGTTTTATAAGCTGAGGGCCACCCTTTCTCTTTGCCCCACACCTTATTTTTCTTGGCTTGGGATTTTTTTTATATTAAAATAGGCTTGGTTATGATTAAACGAGTCCCATTTCCTACTTGTACATTCTCATAGTATCAATTATTTGAAGTGAGGACTTTCATAATATTTAGTACTAGAATAAGAATACTTAGTAGCCACCTTCTTGAAGCTATTAAGTAACTGAAACAGTATCAGGTAGTATAAATTTTGGTAGTTACACAGTAGCTGGCTTGGTCTTTGGGAGCAGAAGACAGACCTTTTTTGGGCCACCCATGTATGATGTGAAGTTTGTCTTTGTGATCTTTTTCTAGTGTAGTGGTTTGAGAGCACAGGCCAGGCAAGGCATGGTGGCTAACACCTGTAATCCTAGCACTTTGGGAAGTTGAAGGAGGATTGCTTGAGGCCAGGAGTTCAAGACCAGCCAGAACAACATGGGAGAGCATGTCTCTACAAAAAATAGAAAAATTAGATGGGTGTGGTGGCACACATCTGTAGTCCCAGCTACTCAGGAAGCTGAGGCAGGAGGAGGATTGCTTGAGCCCCGGAGTTTGAGGTTGCAGTGACCTGTGATGACTCCACTGCACCCTACCCGAGGCAATAGAATGAGACCCTGTCTCTAAAATGTGAAAGAAAACTTCCACAGGCTGTGGAGTCACACTCCCTAAGTTTTAATCCTTTTTCTATTCCTCTCCCTCTCTCCCCCACCCCCCCTTTCTTGCCTTGTCTTCCCTTTTCCTTTTCCCTTTCCTTCTTTTCCTCCCTTCACTCCATTGTCTTCCTTCCTTCCTTCCTTCCTTCCTTCCTTCCTTCCTTCCTTCCTTCCTTCCTTCCTTCCTTCCTTCCTTCCTTCCTTCCTTCCTTCCTTCCTTCCTTCCTTCCTTCCTTCCTCCCTCCCTTTCTTCCTTCCTTCCTCCCTTCCTCCCTCCCTTTCTTTCTTTTTTTCTTTCTTTCTACCACTTAATAACTGTCTGACCTGGCTTTGGAAATTTAACTAGCTCTTACCTATAAATGACATTAATAGATCATGATAGTGATCTTAGAGTTGTCAGTTGCCTGGCATGTAGTTGACTTTCAGTAAATGTTAAATATTAATGCAAAATTAAATTATATTTTCTATATTTTTCTAAGAAACCCAGAGGTTTATCTTAATTCTTGATTCTTAAAAGTATACCACCTTCTTTCCTTGTTATTTAGCTGTTTGACTTCTGCCCGCCATGCATCATCCAGAAAGTATCCAATACAAATCCAAAGTAATAAACTATTCTCTTAATAATAGGTTTAGGTGGGCTTTTGCATTTTGGAGATTATATTCTGAAAATCATGTGAAAAAGCTTTTTTTCCCCCTTATAGGTACAGTGTTAGGTAGTATCTTTATTTTGGCGGCTTTTTTCTTACCTTTCTCTCAGAAAGAAGGAAAGACCATATTAGAAGAGCTGAAATTCGCTGTTTTGAGTATCCTAATACCATAACTATAACACATGGGGCTCTAGGTTGGATTAGGAAATATTTGTCCTTGTTATTCAGACTAATGAGCAAGAACAAACTATCAGATTTCTGAACTCAGACTGTTTTGGCCAAGAAAAGATCTTTGTCCTACATTAGAAGAGTATACATGTATGCCAGTTACATGTTTTAAGTTTCGTATGTATTTTTTCATTCTCTGTTTTAACTTACATTTTCAGTGAACAAACCCAATGATGATTTTGTTAAATAAGATACCACAAAATAGAAAGTTTAGCCTCTTTCTTCTCTTTGACAAGTTCAGGTGCCTGTGCATATACAAACCTTCCTCAGTAATGAAAGGAGGTATGGAAAGCTTCCTATAGTTTTTCTTATTTTTGGAGTGATGCAGAGCTAGCCAGCCAAGATTTTCAGGGCAGTATGTTCAGAAGCCATAGTTTACTCCTTTTCTGTACAAAGGCAAACCTAAGGGGATTTTTTAAAAAATGCATTGGCTGGCCATTCAAGTATATAAGTGTAAGTGAAACTCTTAGAGTAAAGTATGACTTCAGTATAGTTTGACAGGTAAATTATCAAGTGAGTTCACACACTATCACCTAGAGACAACTTCTCTGGTTATACAATGAAGTCATTACCACCACTCTCTCCCAGTCAATGGCAAATTCACTTTTAATCATATCACTTCTCTCCACCTCTCCCACTAGACTATGAGCATCAGGAATCATATTTATCTTGTTCATTGTTTTATCTCCAGATCTTAAAAACAGTTCTAGGCATATCCTTGATACTCAATAAATGTTTAAAGAATTTATGAGTGAATGAATTTTGAAAATACATAAAGAAGATCAAGATGATCTTAGAGTTTTATAGATATTGTTGAATATACACACTATATTGTTTGTAGATTACATTGAATGTTTTGGCAAGTACTATAAAGTACCTAAGATTTTATTCAAAATGGAGTATCTATGTATATTTCTGAATGTGTAAGGATCCTTCATTTTAGTTAGAGTCTCAGAAATATGCTTGAGTTCATAGAAGATTAAGATCCATTAATCTGACGTAGTGAATAGACTATAAGTTCTTTAAACAATTCTACATAAAACACCACCTATTTTATAGGCATCTTTAATATTTTTGCTTTTAGTGAAGGTTTGGAATGAAGGCAGGTAACTAATTTGTTGATTGAAATATATTAGTTTACTTTAGAGCTCAGGGTAACAGAATAAGGTAATTAATTTCATGAGTGATTCATAGTATATTGATGTTAATAGCACAAAATATTGAAGTAGATAGATTAAGCAGTAATATTAACATATTAGGAAAGGCTCAGTGTAGATAAACCATAATGTGGACTGACTACATAATCATTTTTATAGTATTGCTTTCTTTGATCCCACTTTTGAGTACAACATTTTTGAAATTGAATAATTTATAACTTTTTGGGGTAAAATTATAATCTTTGTATTTTTTGCCAACTCAATTTTTTCATTTTTTTCTTTTGGTATTTCTGTTAGTCTGTCATAAGATGATTAAATTGCAGGATACAGTCATGCTTCACTTAATGATGAGGTTATGTTCTGAGAAATGTTTTTTGTTAGGAGATTTTGTCGTTGTGCAAACATCATAGAATGTGCTTACACAAACCTAGATGGTATAGCTTAGTGCATACTTAGGTGATGTGGTGTAGTCTATTGTGCCTAGGCTACAAACCTTTATGGCATGTTAACTACTGAATACTAAAGGCAGTTGTAACACAGTGTTAAGTATGTATGTATTTTAACAATATCTAGATATAGAAAAGGTACAGTAAAAACATAATCCTGTGGCATTACCATTGTATATGTGGCCCATTGTTGACCAAAATGTAATTGTGTGGTACATAGCTGTAATTGTATTCTTTAGTCATTGTACAGTTTCTTTGAGATTGCATTTTAATGTTTTGGCTTATCACTGCTCTTTACATATACTGTTCATAAACATTTAATGACAGTCTTAACTAATTGATACTCATTCAGTAATAAGTGATGGATATGATTTTCTTTATTCCTTTGAAAGCTCAGTTTTTTTAATTTTTAGGAATTATTCAGGTATACCCAGGTATGTTTTTAAGGTTTTTTAAAAATTTGTTTTGTAGTTTTTTACACAAATAAGGAAAATTACTATATTCTTTCATTGTTAATATATAGATTTTTTTTTAATGTCTTTCAGCCAATGGTAATGATAGTAAAAAATTTAAAGGAGAAGATAAAATGGATGGTGCACCTTCTCGTGTACTTCATATTCGAAAATTACCTGGAGAAGTGACAGAAACTGAAGTTATTGCTTTAGGCTTACCTTTTGGTAAGGTGACCAACATCCTTATGCTGAAAGGAAAAAATCAGGTACAGTTCTTTTAGGATTTATGAAATGTTAAACTCCAAACTTTAACCTAATTAACCCAACAGGTATGAATTAAGTGTCACCCTTAATAAAAGGGTGGAAAATGGGTTAATTTTCTGGAAGAATGTAACAGAAGTCTTACTTAAACTTTTCTTGGGAGATGTCTGTGGGAAACTAATGCTAGATAGCCATACTGAATGAGTCACCATAGTGTTGAGATTTTGCTTTTGAATTCACTTTATGCCTCTATCGGAACAGTATTCTAAATTTAACAAGGACTTGTTATAATGAAACTGTGGGATATACAAATTAAGTATTTCTTTTATTGAGGCTCTGTTCTTTGTGATATCAGAAATCAGTAATGATATCTGGTAGCATTAGCAGAAATTAAGGAGTAATTCTGGATATTCTTCTTTTAATAGGTGTAACTATATCATTAGGGCCAAGGTATATTAAATATGAAATTTTATTTAAAAAATTTTTAATGCTATCATTTAAAAGAATTTAATAAAGTTTAATAACATTCCTGTAATTATAGTTAATCTGACATTTAATTTTTAATTTTTTTCTTTGTATATAATTATACTGCTTATCGAATGACTTTTGAGATCTCATATTCTCTAGGGTAAAAGTAGTAAAATTCTGATGCTACATTTTATGTAGCTTTTGTTGGGGGAAATAGATTTTTGTAGGATGTGGAAGATCATAGGTGGAAGGCAGAAGTACCAGGTACTCAATTGTCTTCTGAGGTTAGGTTTAATTATATACCAAAACTTCAATAAGAAATTTTTAATTCTACTTATCAGAACATTTAAATGTAACTTGAAAGGTTATATTCTAGATAATTGATTTTTTTAAGTCAGCTTAAACTTAAATATCTGTGTAATAGATTACACAGATAATGAAATTTATTTGAATTTAATGTATATTATAATTTTTATTATTTTTCAGGCATTTTTGGAACTAGCAACAGAGGAAGCAGCTATTACTATGGTTAATTACTATTCTGCTGTGACACCTCATCTTCGTAACCAACCGATTTATATCCAGTATTCCAATCACAAAGAGCTAAAGACAGATAATACATTAAACCAAGTGAGTATGTGTAGGTACATTATTAAAATGGCCTAGAATATATTAAGAATCTTATAAACATAGTAATGGGAAATAAAATGTTTAACCACTCAGAAAATGTTTATGTAGGCATTTTCTTATTTTTATGATATTTTCATATAGATTGTCCCTAAGTATTACATATCATGGAATTTTGAATTCCTTTAAAGCCCTGGTCAAAAATGTTCTTTTTCTTATTGCAAGTTAAAATTTTTGTGTCAAAACTATTTAAGAGGTAGGACTTACTAGCATGAATGATTTATATAATTCTTCTACTTGGTTGGACTTTAAGGTACAACATTCAGTGCCTTTGGTTATTTGACTCATTAGAGGTCTTAATTTCTTATGGAAAAATTCTTTTGAAGATGTGTTAATTGATTTTCCTGGAGAAAACATCTTATGGATGAAAAATATAGGAATGTATTGATGTTTTAAAAATACAGTGTGAAAGATATTTAAAATTAATATATTAAAAATAAGATAAGAATGTTTTCAGACATATAGTAGGACTACTATAATTGTCTGAAGATTTTTAGCTCTTTTAATATCATTTTTATACTAATTATGTCTTTCTGTTTCAGTAAAATATAAACTGTCTTAATGAAAATTTAATGGAAAGTAATTTCTTTTAGATTTTTGTCTCTTTATAAAAAGTGACTTGAAATCATTTTGATAATTTATGAAAAATAAGCTTGTAAATTTTTGCCTAAAAGATAGAGCTTTCCGTGTCTGCTCCTCCCTCCCTGTTCCTAGCCTCTAGGAACCAGAACGAATTAATTAATATGAATTCAACTTTTTTTAGGTTCTATGTATAAGTGAGATCATGTAGTATTTGTCTCTCTATGCCTGGCTTATTTCACTTAGCACAGTGCCCTCTTAAAATGGCGTTTGATATCCCAATTTTATTTATTATTTTTATTAACGTAATTTATGAACACATTTTCATTTTAAAAGGTTAAGTGAAAGGAACATGTTGAGAATAAAGATAGTGCATCTATAGATAGATGTCTGTGTGAGAGGGGGACTTGTAATTTTAAATAGGATGACCAGTGCAAGTCCCATTGAGAAGGGATATTTGAATAATGAACTTCAAAGGGATGAAGGAATAAGCAAGCCATTTATTTCAGACAGAAGGAATAATCAAAGTAAAAGTTGTTTCTGTTGGAGAAAAAATTTTTGTAATCATATTTTTAATTTTCAAAAGCCCTTCAGTCTTCTTTGATAATCCTTTTTACATTGTTTTTCGTCATATCTTAGGGACTTCACAGTTCTCTGAGGATACTAATTATAGTATTTTAAAAATACCTCATGATGAATTATATTTTCTTCAGTGTTAGCTTTTGTGTTTGTCTTGTTCTCACTCTCCTTTCCCCTTATTTTGTCTGTTCATATTTCATAATGGACAATTAGGGTTTATTGGACTTGCATGCTTTCCTCTAGCATAAAGTAATGAATTGGATAGTAAGCTGGTATATCCACCCCCAGCCCCACCCACCCCCAAATGCCAAAGAGGCCTTTCTTCCTGACCAAGAAACTCACTGTAGAATTTCTGGTTCCTTTGAGGTAGGGCTTTTTAATTGTTATTTTTGTTTTTTTAATGGTTAAGGGGCAAGTTGATCTAGAGGTGATGGCGAAGAGGCATTTAACTTTTTTTTTCATTAGCTACACTTTCCATTTATCCTTTTGTTTTCTCCCTCTCCCTTCTGTGAACCTGCTAATTTCCGGTCTGGTTCCTGTGTTAAACCAGTGTAACCCCTGTTGGCTATGTATTCACTGTGTCTTCTGTCTCTGGTTCCATTCATTTTCTGTGTTCTAAAAATCTGATAAAATTATTTTCAACTAATGGTGACCTTTGCTCTTTTCAGTGTTTTTGTTTATTTCATTTTATATTCATTCACTTATAGGCATTTTAATAGGATTTCATAACAAAAGAGTGGCAAATGAATATGTGTGTTAACCATGAATTCTTCCACAACCTTTCATAAAATCCCCAAGATCTATCAGTTTACTCACCTTAATTATCTGCCTAGTTGTCTTTATCTCTCCTACTCTGTTTGTCTTGCATAGTCAACTCTCTTGGCTCTGTTATTACAACAGTTCTCTTACTAATCTGCTTTCTTAATTTTCCCTCTTGAATTCTTTTCCCCTACTGCAGCCAGTATATATCTTTCTGAAATCTAAGTTATCTCCCTGTTGTAGGTCCTTTTTATGTTCAGGATAAAGGCCCTTTCTCAGATCACTACTATATCTGTTTTTTGTCTTATGGCTAGTCCTGCCCTATTTGCTTGTGCTTCTGTCCCAAAAGTAATGGTGGATCCTCAAACTTGGCATGCTTTCTCTTGATTTCAGTCTTTTGCTGCCATTATGTCACTGTGTTCTCACATGTGGAATATTGTGGCTTGCCTGCCTGCCGTTGCGTCACTCTTCCACCCCCCCACCTTACATAGCTAGTTGCTAAATATCTTTAGGTCTTCCTTCAGCTATTTTTTCCTTTAGAAAGCCATCCTGATACACAAAGAGTGGATTAGATTTGGATTGAGGTCCTTAAATGCAAATTAAAATCACAAGGGGTTACTACCATGCATATATACCATACTGACTAAAAAGAGAAGTAGCATCAAATATTGGTGACAGTGTAAAGAAACTTGAATTCTCATATATAAGTGATAGGCATGTAATTGGTAGAACCATTTTTGAAAACTTGAAATATCTACTAAAGTTGAGCATATATGTGTTCTTTGACTTAGCAATTATCTACTTCTTAGTTACATGCTGAGAAAACGTGCGCACACGCGTGTTGTGTGTGTATGCATATCAAAAGATATATATGAGGTAGTTTTTGAAACACTATAGTAGTAGTTCAAAGCTGGAAATGATCCAAATGTTTAGGAGCCGTAGAATATTTTGTGGTATATTCATTCAGTGAAATACTGTATGGCAATAGGAATGAACAAGTGAGTGGTACCTGTGATATATGTGTGTGCCTCATAAAATGATTATTGAAAGAAGCTAGACCAAAGTAGAAGGTATGATAGAATCTGATAGGATTCCATTTATATAACTTGGAGGAAGCATGAATTTGGCTTCTGGAGTATTGATAATGTTTTTATTTGGGTAGTTATTTCACAGAGATGTCCACTTTGTGATATTTTATTGAGTTCTATACACTTAGGATTTGTGTCCTTTACTGTGTATGAGCAATATTTTGATAGGTTAATTAAAATTTAGGTTGGCAAGCCAACTGTAATCCATGAATTAGAAAAAGACATGTATGAAGTCATTTGTTACTGATATGGAGCACATAATTAAGCTAAAAAAGGAAGATGGAGAACAATCGTACAAAAAAAAGTACATAATAGATACATACATGTATGCTTGTATATGTAGATGGTATTTCTGGAAAGATACCCAAGATAATACTAGTGAGGGTTTGGTAAGGGAAAGACTGAGTGACAGAGTTGCTGTGATCAGATGATTCCTATTTTAAAAACACATATTTTTGTTATTTGAAATAGTAGATGTTAGTGTTTTTCTACTTGTGATAGTTCATACTTCTTATATAGATAATATATTTGTAAGAACATGTTCAATAATGAAGAAAGTAAAACTGCAATGAGCTAGTTAAAATATTTTATTTAAATATATCCAAACATTTAAATAGGTAAATGTTGCTCTAGAAATTTGATTTTACCTATTTTGTTAATAACTTTTTCCATAGTAGTATAAAAGTGTCTATTAACTGTCATGTTTCAGAATGTTGGGTTTAAATTAACGAGTCACAGTCACTTCAGGTTATTATTTTAATAGCATTTAAATGATGTTTTTCTAGATGAATATGTGGACTCTGAGTCTCAAGCTATGTGATCCCTGGTTATATAATATTTCAGTAAAATGGCTGTTATTGTTTATTCCCATAAATGCCCTAATTCTTTTGTATTCTCTTTCCCTTTTATTTATCACTGTGTAGTTGTTATTCCTATTTTTCTGCTAATATAGGTTTTTCAAACTTATTAAAGCAATGTAGAGGTATTTGTCATTGTTATATTTAACTATTTTATGTATGTTTTCTGATCCCAGATAAGGTAGAAATTATTTTCTTATCAGAGAACATGTCACAATAATAATAAAGGCATAATAGTGATAAAAGCTTTCTTCTAGAGCATTTAATATTTGATTTGCTTGACAGATTTCCTAAAAATACTGTATTTATTTAATTTTATATGTTTATTTTTCACATTTTAAAATCTCGTAAATCAAGATGTATCGTACAGCGGTTGATCCATCAGAGTTTAATTGGCAATATCTTAGTCACACATAAAATAATAGTGCATTTTACAATTAATGATATATTTGATACCATGAAATTTATGGGAAATATCCTTCATATTAAGAAAGTTTTCCTGAAAATGTTCTGGTTTTGTACAAAGTACACATCAGTCTTTGTTCTAAAAAGTTTGGTGTCAGAAGTTAATAATAGTATTCAGAAAGACTTATTTGTATCCTAAGATTCCTTTTTAAAGATTATATTAGAAGTAATAAGCTTTATAGGAGGACTTTTGAATAATCCAGTAATCTCCTTGTTGAGATTTACCATGTAACTGTTTTCTGTAGTGAATAATATTAGATTAATTAAAGTTTTATTGTTCTCTACAAGTTTCTGTTTAAAACATTTCCTGGTTATGTACGTCTGCCAAACTAAATTTTGTTCTTTTGAGAATAAATTACATTGCCTGTTTTTGCCTGTTGAACGTTGATCCCAAAACCTGATAATTTTTTTAAATTAACACTAGTAGAATATTTGAATTATGAACAGACAATACCTACCTCATAGCAGGTACTCAAAAATATTTATTGAGTGGGCATTAAATTTTGTTTAATCTATGTATGTTCTAGAAAAGAAGTGAATAATAGTGTAGTAAGTATGTAGCAAAGTATGTGATAATAATGGGTGTGTTTCTAAACTACTTAATCTTAATTTTCAGCGTGCTCAAGCAGTTCTTCAAGCTGTGACAGCTGTCCAGACAGCAAACACTCCTCTTAGTGGCACCACAGTTAGTGAGAGTGCAGTGACTCCAGCTCAGAGTCCAGTACTTAGAATAATTATTGACAATATGTACTACCCTGTAACACTTGATGTTCTTCACCAAGTAAGTTTAATTTAATTTGCATACTTACCTATAAATTAGAGAAATAATAATATAGTAGATAAATAATGTTTTGATTTTAATGTTTTAACAGATATTTTCTAAATTTGGTGCTGTATTGAAGATAATCACATTTACAAAAAATAACCAATTTCAAGCTTTGCTTCAGTATGGTGATCCAGTAAATGCTCAACAAGCAAAATTAGTAAGTCTAGAGCTTCTTTTGCCATAGTGGTATTTTTTTCATTTAGATATATATTTTTTTATATATTAATATGTCAGTATAGCTGATTTTATTAATCCTGTCATAATTTAGTATATGGTATAGCATTATAGATGGTAGAAATTGGTGACATTAAAATAATATTAGGAAACCATAGTATTTTTCATAAAAAAGAAATGTTTATTTTTAAACTAATGATAGCTGTAGTTATCCATAACATAGACTTGCATAAAGTTTACATTTCTGTTTGGTGTAGGTACAATGAAAGTTTTGTGCTCTTAAGAAGACAGCAGGATTATATTGTGCATGCATATGTGTATAAGATTTTAGTTGGCTTCCAGAGGAAGTTTTAAAATAATAAATTTGGTTTTTAAGATAGTTTGGCTGAAATATATCAATACAGATGTGGCTCAGATGCTGTGATGTGGCTCAGTTTATATTTAGGACTATATCATATATTCTTTTAAAAGGTATTTAGAAAGCAGATTTTCTGAGTAGATTCCTAGTCTACTTTTTATTCCCATCATTTGTCTTTTTTCTTATGTATGAAGGGTGAGAGACAATTAAAAGAAGTAAAATTTTCCCATGTCATGGCTACCGTTGAAAACTGCATAGCACATCTTTACTTCCAAATGCTTTAATCCTCTGTTTGTATATCTTATTTAAATCTACTTTGCTCTATCTTTTTAACTTTTTGTGCCATATATCTCATTATCATTATTCCATTATTAAGCCATTAAAAATTCATTATTAAACCATTATTAGGAAACCATTAAATCAACTGTCTTTACTTACATTTGTCTTACCTGTTTTTCTCCTTTTCAGTCTTTCTTTTACTTTCAGACTAATTATGGTCTCTAATACTTTAGTGCTTCCTTCAGATAAAGATTACTTCTGTGGAACCCAGAACATTTTTTATTTCTGTTTCATTGCATTTCTATCCTCAGAATCTCATTTGGGAAGCAAAAATAGCTTTAGGTAGCAGAAAGGCTGTGTAAGTAATAATACAATTGTAATAGTTTACAAAGTGCTATAATCCCGTTTTTTTTTTCTGACCACTGCTTTATAATGTAAGCAGAACAGGTTTTCCTTCCTCTGTTACAAGGGGATATTAAGATTTTTAGAGGTGAATAATTTATCATAATGCACACTATCTGTAAGGTAGACATTTTTTCAATCTACCTTTCAGATAGCCTTTCTCTCTAGTGTGTTGGTACTCACTGGTTCTCAGGTTATATAATCTAATCTTACTATGATTGCCTTTTCAGGCATAAGTTTCTCTGAACATCTGTTAAATCTGATCCCTAACAATCTCTTCAAAAAATTAAGTTATTTAAATAGAAAGTAAACATTGAGATAAAATGGAAAAGTTTTATTGTGGCTTTTCGTATTTTCAGTCCGTATTCAATGTTTCATTATGCTGTTTTAACTATCTACTTTATGTCTTATATCTTTCATGTGTTTTGATTATCATGTTTTAGCTATAGACTTTAAATTTACATGAAAATATTTTTCCTGATTGTTTTTGCTTACTGTCTAAATTTCCACTGTGAGTAGGCACATTTAAAAGGTCTTTCTGCAAATTATCTTGAGCTTTTACTGTCAGAAATCTTTGCGCCAGCAAGATTACTGCATTCCTGATTGCTGAACCACTGGACTGGTTTGTGTGCTACTGTTATTTTCTGGATTTTACAAATATATGAGCATGAATTGAACTTGCATATATACTTTAATTTGATTTTTATTCCTTACCTTATTGTGGTCTCCTTACTTTAGCTGGCTGTTAAAAATGCCTGGATTCCTGTTTTCGTGCATCCTCAGCTTTGGTTTCTCTCTTTTGCTAACAGGTGGTTTTAATGTACATCTTGTTTGCTTATTTCTCTAGCTCTTATACCTTAAGCATACTTGTGTGTCTCCCATCTACATAAAAATGTTTTTTAAAATGTTGAAAGGGGAAATATCCATTTCTGGAGGGCTTTCTCACGATTGGCATATTCATTGTAGATAATTTGGCAGTCTGCTTCAGTATTGCTTGGGAAGAACTCAGCCCCTAAAAAAGTTTACTTAGTGAGAATTTGGTAATTTTGTTATCAGTACTGTACTTTTAGCATTAACATAAATAGTATGGTTCGAAGCCATATTGTTTCTCATAAGATATTATTCTTTCTTTGATAATAGTGAAGTGGTCACCTAAGAGTCAATTATGCTACTCATCTTTTGATAATCGTATGCTGTATAGAAACATGAATTCTATTACTTTTCTCGTATTTTCCCTATAAGAATGCTACATGAGTAAATTAATACCTATTTACCCTTTACAAATAAAGGCTTTGTTTGCCTTTACAGCAGGGTACTGAATTAATAGTTATTTTATTCTGGCTGATAAAATTGATACTTGGCTTCCACTTTTATGTGATGTTAAGTGCTTTGCCTAACCTAAATGTAATTCAGACCCTGATGTGTATGAAGAGAGTTTTTACCAGTACTGTATTGAAGTGGATAAACTATGTTGAATTATTTTTTAGGTTAGTTTTTAGATTGGTAAATATAGTCACATAAAACTTAATTTTGTATATTAAGGAAAAAGGTTTTATATTTCCAGAGAGTAAGAATATTTGAATTAAATGCTTTATATATTTAAGTAACTATAGAGGTTTATTTTATCCATAGCAGGATGTGTTTATTCTTCTGAAAAATTAACAATATATTTCCCCATTCTCTAGTTTGTCCCCAGTTACCTAAATGTACTAGAAATTGTAATTACACAGGAGCAGGAAAAAAACAAGATAATCATAACAGCAGCATAGTCCCATATAATGCACAGCATACTTTCGTATATATGATCTTTTATTTAGTCTTAATAACTCTGTGAGGAATCATAGCAGCCATTATCATCTCTGTTTTCCAGATTAAGAAGTTGAGATTCAGGGAGGTTAAGTTGCTCAAGATAACCTAATTGAGTCTAGGCTTTTAAGCCTAGACCTGACACTCTTCTGTTTTAAAACTTTCCTGTATAATGTACACTGAATTTGCTAATTTTATCAAGGTATTCTGACTCAGGTCGAACACTTCAAGTTAATTAAGAGTGATACTAGTTTTTTCACCGTTTCATGGGAATTGCTATTATACTCCATAGTGAGGCAACCCTATGTAATGTGGCATCAAACAGCAATTACCTTTGAAAACTATACCAATTCATATTAAGTACTGTCATACAGCAATAAATATATATAAAGTTAACTTTATTATGCATATTGGTATGGTACTACTTTAGTAGGACTGACTATATTTGACTCTTACTAATTTTTTAAATTATTTATTTTTTATACTTAAAAATATTAGCATGGTTCTTAGTTGGTTGTAGTTTAGATTTAAGTAGCATTTTTTATTTAAAGAAGATAGTTTCAGGTGGAAACTAATACATGTACAGCTGGAACAGCACAGTATGGTGTATGAAATTTGAATCCCTTTTCCTGATAGCTTTTATGTGCAGGTTTTCATTAATTGAGTTTTATTGTCAAAATCATACTTTTGCTAATTTTTATTCTTTATTTTAGATTGCTAATACACTTCATTCACTTTTACAGGCCCTAGATGGTCAGAATATTTATAATGCTTGCTGTACCTTAAGGATTGATTTTTCCAAACTTGTGAATTTGAATGTAAAATACAACAATGATAAAAGTAGGGATTATACTCGACCTGATCTTCCATCTGGGGATGGACAACCTGCATTGGACCCAGCTATTGCTGCAGCATTTGCCAAGGAGACATCCCTCTTAGGTATGATTTTTATTGCCTATACCACTTTTTTCCCATTTTGCCAAATGGGAAAGTGCCTGATAAATTCCAGTAAGTATAATGAATCCTCCATTTTGTACCTTAACAAATTGTTAGGTTTTATGAGTTTGTTTTTCTCAGGTGAAAAAGCATATGTATGCTTTTAGAAAAAACCTAAAATGTCCTCCATAAGTATAATTAAAATTATATTAGTTTTATTCCTATATTACTTTTACCACCCTTCACCCTTGCCTTCTCTTTTACTCCATTCCCAAAATAAAAGAACAGAAGTTCTAATGAAGAAATACTATTGAATTCTTAGTGAAATATTTACACTTTAACCTTGTCGTCATACTCTCTAGGTCTAAGGCCCTGTGCCTGTTCTTTAGGGCTAATCTGATTGTTTAAGTTTAGTGCTGCATGGAAATAGTGAAATGTTATTAGACAAAACATATGTAATGAGAATGGGCATACAGGTGTCTTCAAAGCATATTTTAGCCACTTTAAAAAATAATTTAAACTAGAAATTTTCTATGAAATTTATTTTGCTATTTATTTGTATTTTGTCTTAATCATTTCACTTTGTCCCACAATGGATTTGAGCCACTTAATAAAAATTCATTCAGTAATACGCAGCTAATAGTTGATGGAGTCAAGATGAAGGGGGAAAAACGGGAAAATGTTAATTTGTAAGTAAAATGAACAAAGTGATTTATGTTAAGGTGGAATTTTAGTTTTATTTGATGTGTTTGGGAAATTGTTTCTTGATTTGTGGTGTTTGTATAGTTATCTTTAAGTTAGGATTTTAATCTCTATGGAACCCATAATTGGTGGTTCCTACACTAGCTCTTACAGTTAAGTTTATATACATCATTTAAAAAAGTATTATAATGAAGTAATTCTTAGAAATATTTATTTAATGTGGATATATAACATTCATCCTATTCTCTTGTAAGTATGACATCTAAGTGACACAAATGTGGAGAGAGACACTAATGCACAAGAGAGACAGTTGATATTTGAAATTAATTCTGATGACTTCAAACAAAACTGACTCTTTATTATAATTTTCCTGATGTATCTGGCATAAGCCTTAGCTCTTTATCGTGACTCTAGTAGATGCTTTGGGTTGCTTACCCTTTTTCCTGACAGAATCTCTATCACTGTGTAGGCCTATTGTAAGTCTTAATTCTCTCAATTCTCCTTGCAAATTAATAAGATTGACTGTTTCATAGTGTGCAGTTTTTAAAGGCAAAGTCAAGAATGAGACAGTGATAAGTAAAACATAGCCCTTGCTTATAATTATTACTATAGATTATTAAACTCTTATTGATGGAGATTATATTACAGAAAAGAGTCAACATATATCAAGTAGCTTCTAGGTCCTAGGCATTCTGCTAAGCACTTGGCAGATACATTATTTAAAATACTCAGATATAAGTAGATGATGGCGTCAAGATTTTACTAATAGTTTCTCAGAAGTTGAAAAATTAACATGCAGCTCATTCAAGAAACCATTTAAAGATAAAATACCAAGAAACTCGAGCTAGCATCAACAAAAGACTACAATCACTTCCTTAGATCCTAAGGAGCCATGTGCATTTGCCCATCTGGGTATGTTTAGATGGAGAGGGATCCCAGGTGGAGGCATGGTTAGAAGACACCTGGATTCTTCTCATGTGGAATTCATCACTGTTTCCTTATGATCTCATGACCTTGGTAAACTTTTTAAAAATGTAATAATAAAGTATTTTTCATAAAAGATTATGAAGCCCTAACACAAGTAACTTCTGTCTCTATAATTTTAATCATTTTTAAGTGTTCTACATTTTTGCATTAAAAACATTAAGTTCCTCAGTTCTTAATAAATTGTCTAGTGTCTTCTTCCAGCTCTGTGTTGAATTTTTTTAGTATAATGTATTTTTGTTTCTACATCTCTCTCTCATAAGAAAAAGGAAAATGTTTTGTGGTAAAAATATGAATTTCTCTTCCTAAGTGATTTCATTTTTTGCCTGTTTTAATGCTTTTGCATCTTGTTATAACTGGGCTTTTAAAGTATTTTCAAATAGTTTTTGAAAGTAAATGAGTTATAAGTTTTAAAAATCAAATATTAAACTCTCTAGTTTTAATAATTCAAAAGATATAACCATTTACTTTTATATATTCTCTTTTTTGATGTAAATACATATTTTTATACAAATTAAAATTATACTGTATTTACAGCTTTATATGTATTATAATTGATATTTTATTTGGAATTTTTTTAAAAGATAGTTTTAATACTTGTATATTATGCTAATAGATATATTATACTTTTGAAAGTGGACCATTTAATCTATTTCTATACTAACACCCTTGCATACATAACTTTTTTGCCTCATATTATTTTCTTAGACTAGATTCCTAGAACTAGAATTATTGGATCAAAGAAAATGTTAAAGCCTGGTGATATTAAACTAACAAATGGTATATGAGGCTGGCTGTTCTCCTTCCCCCTACCAGCATTGGAGTATTTTAAAATTTCATAAGATATTAATTTGATAGGAAAATGTCTATTATTTTCTTTTATAATCTAGTTTGCAGTTAAGTGCTTATTTACAGTATTTATAATTCTTGCAGTATTGACAATCCTTTAAATTGGTTATTTGCATTCCTTCTATTGGGATGTATAATAATTCTTGTAAAATGCTTATAAATGATAATATGTTCACATTTGGTATGAGCTTTATTCACCTATTTTACTCTGGTCAGTTTTTGGAAAACTATTTTAAAATAATTTATCTCTTTAATGAATTGATCTCAATCCAAAAGTATCCATTTGCAGGACATGAAGGTAATTTTTTTTCACATATTTGGTGGATATTATATGATCTTTAGTAGGAATTCCTTAACTGTTTTGCTCTTTATGTGATTTTCACACACCCTTTACAGCAACATCCAATATTGTATTAGTAAAGTCATGCCTTTTGGAATAAGTAAATCTTTTCCATGTTTCTTTCTCTACAATAATATTTGATCAGGTGACTTCAAAGTACAACCAAACTACTGTTGATGGGACTCATTGCCTGCTCAGTATTCCTCAGACAGTTCTTGTTCCAAATGAAATAACTGATAGAGTACCCCTTTATTTCAAAGATTTTGTAAGAACACAAATAAAAGGTGATAGTCTTCTAAATATTTGAGGGGTTTCACTTTATAATGATTTTTGTGTTATGTCTGGCCACTTGATTGAATTTAATTATTTTAGAATCAATAGTATAAATTTTAACTTATTTTGAATACTAATTTTTTAAGACTAGCATTTATGTTTGGCTTCTTTGGCTTCTTTAGTGCTAGAGATCATAGTACCTCAGAAAATTTAATTTATTCAGAGAAGGGAGACCTATAGTGCTTTGTAAGTAGTTAAAAATCTGACCTCTAAACACATAATCACAAATCTGGTCGACTATTAGTCATTCACATATTCTGTTTTAAAGAACAAGATGATCTTGTTCTTTATTATCTCCTTATTTATAATCCTTGAGATTATAAATTGAGACACTATAATGATCATTTTATCATGTTAAGAAATGTAGTTAATTTATTAAGGGATACTTCACTTTTAGAAAAATTGCTAGGAGTAATTATTCATGATCATGTTGTCTATGTTTTAAAAATTAGGGCAGATAATGCATGCAAAGAATAGTTATTTTAGAACTTTACATATATTTTAAGTTGAATGAAGTAATAGGCATTCTCATCATACTTTTTTTTTTTTTTTTTTGAGACAGAGTCTCACTCTGTTGCTCCAGCTAGAGTACCAAGGCGTCAGCCTAACTCACAACAACCTCACACGCCTGGGCTCAAGCAATCCTACTGCCTCAGCCTCCCGAGTAGCTGGGACTACAGACATGTGCCACCATGCTCGGCTAATTTTTTCTATATATTTTTAGTTAGCCAATCAATTTCTTTCTTTTTTTCCCCCCAAACTGACCAGTTTTATTATTTAATTGGCATGACAAGGAAGTTCCTTCTGCCTTTAATCCTTATAACAAAAGTAACCTTAAGTAACCTGATGTTAACCAATCAGTTATTTCTCTCGTTTCCCTGTTCTCACCTTAGAGGGAAAGTAACTTTTTTTGTTTTGTTTTTCTTTTTTATTACATCATATTATGGGGGTACAAATGTTAAGGTTACGTATGTTGCCCATTCCCCCCTGCCCCCTCGAGTCAGGTTCTTTCTATTTTTAGTAGAAAAGTGTCTCACTCTTACTCAGGCTGGTTTCAAACTCCTGACCTTGAGCCATCCGCCCTCCTTGGCCTCCCTTAGTGCTAGGATTACAGGCATGAGCCACCGTGCCTGGCCTCATCATAAGGTCTTAAAAGAAAAGCAAACTTTTTATAAGAAATCTATTGACATAAAAATATTTTAAATTGTCAGCAGATTAGCAAACATTTATTTACAAAGATAAATATTTAGCCCTTACAGAGCAGTGGTTTTCAAACTTTTACTGCACGTTGAAGTTACTGGGCCCTAACCCAGACTGTGAATCAGTGGGAGTGAGTCACTGGCATTTATATATTTTTTAAGATCCCTAAATGATTTTACTTGGTAGTGAGAGTTGAGAATTACTCCTGTAGAAAAAAGTTTGTAATTGAATTCATGTCATTTAAATCTATCCTGGTACATTTCTGTTGGTGCAATATTGTTTAACTGTTAAAATGAATTTACTTTATTTTTTCTTTGTGTTTGTGATACATAAAATTAACAAACTTATTTTTAAATGATTTCTGAAAGCTTTGATTTTCTTTACTTTTGAAGGGGTCATTCACATAGGAATATTAATATTTTTATTATCAAAGATTTCAGTTATATACTAATATAATTAATTCCACGTACCCATTATCTTGGTTCAGTAGTGCCTACACTTGTTTTTATCTATTCATTTTTTTCTGTTGTATTTTAGAACAAATCCTTGACATGACATGTCTTCTTAAATATTACTCATAGTATCTCTTTTAGAG